TTCCGGTGCATATAACCAATTGTTACTGCTTCTTTAAATAAAGTTTTTATTATTATTATTATTATTATTATTATTATTATTATTATTATTATTATTTCACAAACACAGTTTGAATTTTTATCACTTCTTCCTAAAACTTTTCATATTTATTAAACTGCAAAATCCAAGCTGTAGTCTATAAAATATTTTCATATCTATAGCAGAGCTTCTTCATCGCATAATAGAGAATCTTGTCTTAACAGATCGATGTCGATGGTTAATTGGTTTATTACTTTAAAATTGAATTATTTCTTTTACAGACGAAGTGTGATATTTGCAAAGGTGTTTACAGACATATTTATTAAGGCTAGCGCGTCATGAAAGTTTTATTTGCAAATACAGTTGTAGATATAAAATAACAGCTTTCAGAAAATAATAAAGTAATGCTTATAATTTTACATTTTTCTAACTCCTTGTCTTCTTTTGCAAATTTGAATCATTTTTTAAATACTTCAATTATCTCTTACGTAAATAATCAATTTAAGTAATTTAGAATCCTGTTTTAGCTTAAGGCATTGCCCTTGCACGGCATTAAATGTCTGTGACGTCAGAATAAAACGTAAATTATATATTGTGATCTTTTGACCCCTGTTTTGGGTTATGGTGTTTTTAAATTAAAAAAAAAAAATACATTATTGATACAAGTCAATGGTGATGTATCTTCTACATCAAGAGCTGAAAATCTTAATTTTATTCATTTTCAAATGAGAATCTGTAGCAATAAAAGATATTGATATTCAGAAAACGTGTTTTTTTTTTACATTAAGCTAACAAGCTTGACAAAACGTTGGACGTGTGCGGCATAAGAAACTAGCATCATTGTGCTTCTTGTCACACGAAAAATTGTTTTTTAATATATAGAGACATCATTAAATTTGTGAAAAGTAGTATTCAGTTGTTGTTTTTTTTTTTCTGACGTCAAACCTATTTTCTCAATGATATATAAAAATAACAATGACATTCATTTAAGCAGTTTTTTGTATACATCGGTAAATGTTTATTCTTAAGGATGTTTCCACGTGATTTTTCGTCTCATAAGTATTCATAACATCAAGCAACAACTCTAAACATACCATTCCATTCATTTTTCTTTAAATAAAATATTCAAGACTTTTTAAACCCCATTTAAAGTTATAGTTGTGTAAATTCAGCGTGATTGTCAGTTGACCTTTTTTTGTTGTAATATTAAGTGGATCACATGGATGCAAGTAATCACCATTTCATGATTTGAACGGCGCTTTTAACTCTTCATAAATCGTTAAAAGATTAAAATTTTGTAAGAAAAAAAAAGATATTTGTTTGCACCAAATAATCGGCAAACGAACTATGTCATCTTCAATAAAAACTACCATTTCATCAATAAAAATGAGGAATTCAGCTCTCTTTTCTTCAATTAAGGACGGATAATACAAATGATTTTTTTCTTATGAAGAGATTTCAAATCATGTCAAAAGTTTCGAAAAGTGGAACTGTTCACGGTAGCTCAGTAGGTAGAGCTCTCGCTCCGTGATCGGGAGGTCGTGAGTTCGTATCTCTGCCGCGACTGACCTAGTCGGGGCCATTATGCATCAAGAAGAAGATAAACAAAGTTGAACACCAGATTGAAATGAAAGGTAAATTGAAGACGTTTCATGTAAATATGCTTAAAAAGTACATTAACAGGAATGATTATTCAGGGGGATCAGATCAAGATGATGAAGCTCTAGTCACATCTGCTGTTATTGACTTTGCTGCGGAGGAGGATGATGACGAGTATGGCGTAGCGAGTGCCAGGGATACCAAGGGTGTGACCATCAAACCAGATTTATCACCTGAAGACAGAAAAAGGTAACATTACTATGGATCAGGTTACTGATGTATTGTCTGATGATCCTGGCTATACCCATCTGATTGAACATGACATTAAGATAAACTCAAGTCAACCAATCAGAGTTAAATCTTATGCAATTCTATTTTCAATGAGGGGAATAGCTGATATGGAAGTTGAGAAAATGTTAGAATTGAATGTCATTGAACCATCAGAAAGTTCATTTTCTTCTCCAGTTGTCCTTGTGAAGAAAAAAGATGACACTTCTTCTGCGTAAATTTGAGAGCTATCAATGCATGTTCACAGTTCGATGCAGAACCGATGCCAAATGCAGATGATATCTTTTTAAAGTTTGCCAACTACAAGGTATTTTCAAGGATTGACTTATCCAAAGTCTACTGGCAGGTTCCATTAACATCGTCAGCTAAACCCAAAACAGCGTTTCAGACATCCAAAGGCCTCTTCCAATTTCGAGTGATGCCCTTTGGATTGCTGACAGCACCGGCGACGTTTTCCAGACTGATGCGTAAGTTGTTGTTCGGGATGTGAAACATTGATAATTTTATCGATGTTATCATTGTTTTTACAGAGGACTAAGATCAGCATTTGGAAGTTCTTCAGGAACTCTTTACAAGGCTGAGAAACGCCAATTTGATAGCAAAACCTTACTCATTATTTTTGTACAGAGCGACAATATGTACAGAACGATAATATGTACAGAGCGACAATATGTACAGAACGATTATATGTACAGAGCGACAATATGTACAGAACGATTATATGTACAGAACGATTATATGTACAGAGCGACAATATGTACAGGACGGCAATATGTACCGTCACAGTCCCTTGTTTAATTTATTAAGACTATTGGGATCCTGTAGATCTAGGTTGTAATGACATTAAAAATTTACTGACATGTATTGACAATATATTGATGTTGATTTTGAAACATGTGCTTTTAACGATAATAGAATAAATACCGTATGATTTCTTACTAAATATTTGTTCCAGCTACCCCCTGCTTTAATAGAATGTCATTTAAGACACGGACCCCCGAAACAGAGGTGAGATCAGGTGCCTTAAAGGAATGAGCATTCCCTGCTGACCGGTTACAACCGCCGTGTGCTCCTTGTCATGATAGGAAATAACGGAAACAATCCGTCGTCAATTCAGTGTACAAATAACGGACTAACAATTGGTATGAAAAACGTCAGTCAGCATTTGACTTAATGATAAATTGTATTTGCTGAAAAGATCATTGTATCGACCACAGAGCTTACGGAATGATGACTTTGAATGAAACTGCTGATATTCTTGTTACATCAACTTGCTTGTCAATAATTTACCTCATTTTAGAAATTGTTCGTACGTAGAGCATGCTCTTGCGTATCGAATCAACTGAGATATATTTACTCCGTATGCAGGTGATGAAGGTATATTGCTGCATAAGTAAGGGAAGTTGACGATTAAAAAGTTAAAGTCATCATGATTATCATATGGCTTGGTTGTTAGATTACCATTAGTGTCTTTTTCAAGTAATATATCCAAGTATGAAATAAAGGTTTCGGACTTCGTTGTATCTTTTATCTCAAGCTCACCAGAATATATCGTATCGACGTAGGATAGAAATTATCATTGTTAATTGACAATACGTCGTCGATATATCTAAATGTCGAGTTGAAGGCCACAGCAAGTGTTTTCTTCTTTTCACGCATAATATTTTCCATAATTTCTGCTTCATATGAATATAAAAATAAGTCTGCTAATAAGGGAGCCAAATTGTTGAAATACCTGGTCTCCAAAAACCACATATATATTGTCAATCAGAAACTCAAGCATCTTCTTGATATCAACTTCTTTATACTGATGTGTTCAATCAGAATCTGTTTTAACAGAATAAGTTTGCAAATGATCAATGACGAGGTAAGTAAATTTACGAGCTCCGTTTTTTATTGAAGAAGCAGATGTCAATGATATCAAAAAGTCTAGATTTTAATTTGTCGTGGGGAATTGTTGTGTATAAAGTTGATAAGTCATAAGTTTCTATGCTGTTGATTTTTGTAAAGTCTTTTGATCTCAAATTGTCCAAAAGTTCTTTAGAATTTTTTCGTATCCACATCTGATTCACAACACTTCTTGAATATATAGTTGCACAGTACTCTGTAAGTTTTTCCTTCACAACTGTCAATATCTTAGTGAGGAGTAACGAAAGAGGCTTGGATAAACATTTACTGGAACCTGCAATGTATCTTTGTTTGTAAGGAGTCTTATGAAGTTTCGGAATCCAATATATATACAGTAGTTCAAAATCATTTTGGCTCTGTGGAATATTAAAAGTGTTCAAAACTGGCAGGTGCTTTTAAGGAATTTCTTCCTTAGAAAGGGAAGCATGAGTATAAGTAGGATTGCCACTTGTAGAATTAAATCCAAGTTCTTCTAGAATGCAAATTATATAATGAGCCTTACAAACGAAGACAATGTTGTTACCTGCTTTGTCGGAACCAGTAGGTACTGATCGTGTAATTTATCTAGTTGTTTTCCCTTCTGGTTTATTGAACCCAGAAGGATAGATGGTTTTAATATTGCCCCTCAATCTTTTAATACGTGACTTTAACATGGATCTTATACATTTAATCCATTCTGGCAAGGTGTCAACGTCTTCTTTTTCATATCTGGCCCATCGTCTGGCGTAATTTTCAACAGAATCCATAATTATTATGAAATTAAGAGTAAAAACATAAAAGTTAACCGTTTTTCCACAAAAAAAACAGTAAAAATGCTTCTGAATTTTTTATGTCATTTTCATTTGCATTGTGTAAGAATCTATTTCATTTTAATGCTCAGCTTGTTGTAAATTATATATACCGTATACAAGTTTGAACTTCAGAGGTAATTTTCAAATTTTCAAACTGTAGTAACTGTAGAATATTTGTGTTGCTATGGAAACAGATACCTACGTATTTGATTTGCTATCAAAACTTTTTTGTATACTACATAATTTTATCTTAAATAATTGGCATAAAGTATGTTGTAGGTGATATCAATATTGATTTGTAAAAATATTCTTCAAAAAAAGTTTAAATTAAAGTTTTTCTCCCTTAACTTACAGTGGTTTCAATGGCAACACATTATATAGAGAAAAATAATAGTTTTGTTGGTCACACATCATTTCCATATATGTTAAAATTGTGTACTATGAACACTTTTTACAACCAATTTAAAAAAAAACAGGAGGTTGAAAGTTTCCATCGGAAGCTTAATGATTCGTGACATTCTCAATCATGAAAATTTACTAGTAGTAAATATTATTTACAATTACGCTCACAAGTAAAATTTAACAAACAACTTGCCAGAATTATGGAGTTAAGGCTCTAAGTAAATGTTATCTGGAAATTTACTAAGTGTTGTGCTGTTCTGAAGGACTTTAACATGCAAGTTTAACCACTAAAAATACGAAACTCTCATGAACACAATGGAAATATGATCCTAATGGACATTAATACCCTCCACACAAAATATGTATGTATATGAATGAATCCATTGGTCCAATTTTTGGGGGAATGGCTAGGCCTAACACAATATACATGCAGTAATATGCTATGGGACTACTAAGCATACATTGTAGAATAAAATGGCATTACATTTCGAAAAAACAAAATTAATCATGCTACATTGACTTGTATAATGTAGTGAATTTATTTTATTCATATAAATGGAAAAAAAAGTTGTGTTACAAAACTTTTATGAGAATGTGACACCTCTGACATTATTGACAAAATATTTTAAAAAACATTTTTGAGTTTCACCTTTACTAAAATGAAAAACAAAATTACATAGCACATGGATCCTTAAATAAAATTTGAAATGCTCTAGAAGTATACATACCCTATGGAGAAATTGATGCATTTTTTATTTATTCATTCTTTAAGCCTGAAAACTCTTGACAGCTACAATGATAAAAGTATTACATATGTAAATATTTTTAATGTACATGTAATCTAAACAAAAAATGAAAATTTTTTTCATTAATTTAGAAATTATCGGAAATTGCAACCATAGATAAGAAGCGGAGCTTCTATGTTTTCAACATAATGATACTGATAATTTTTTTTATATTGTGTAGCATGTTTGTATGTCAAAAGACAACATCATTATTTGTTTAGGCCTAGTGAATCATTGACTGAAACAATAAAAACATCTCATTTAATTTACCTTAGTTTAAATTTGTGTTACTGATAACTTCCATTACTGCATATAATTATAGTCTCAAAGAAAATGAGCTAATTGACAAGCTTAAGAACTCAGTATATATTTAGTGAAATTAAATTTAATAATTCTAAAAAGTGTGCAACTTAGTATGGGGATGGGGGGGGGTACACACAAGGCACTGCATTACAGTTTTTCACTGACTGTGATAATACATCTAAATGAAGATGCACACACTCGGGTTTTTTTTCTTTGATGTGAACAAAAGCATGTCTACATATTGAAGATCTACACATATACCTACATGCACATACATACCTGGCCTGAAATTACAGTGATGGATCTACGGAGCTGGTGCAGACCGTCTCAATTTTTCATTATTTTCCCAAAGTTTGTCCTCATATTCTCGTAAAAGGGGTAAACAATACCTATGTCTCTTATTTCTTCCCTATTTTCTTTAAAGATTATCTGGTTAATGCATGTAAACCCACTGCAAATCTCAGCTGATTTCGCCACGTTTTTAGATGTAAACAACATTCCGTGTCAACGAGTGCAAGCGCTTGGCTGAAGCCGAATGCAGCCAAACGGCACATAAAAAAGAGAATTATTTTAAAGACATGCTGTTTAATATACGAGAAAATCACTAATCATTTTCTATTTAAACATAAAAATATTGTAGTTTATTACAGATTCTTGCAAACATCGGTAAATAGTTATTTTGAGCTCTATTTCCTTATATGGATCAATCAGGGCGGAGCAACTGTCATGACGTCAGACCTTATCATGACCTCATTGCCATATTTTTTTTCATGTGTTGCCTTAACTGTACTGCGTTGGCGGTAAAATATAGATGAACAAAATTGTAAAAGGAACTAACAGAAACATTTCACCTAACTAAGTCATGTTATATATATCCGCAAAATTTTATTTATCAACCTATATTTTATAATCATCAGTGCATAAAAATTATAAACTTAATTATAAAGTTATATTTTCAAAATTCTATGTTACACTTACTTGCGCAACTATATTTGAAAGAGGCAGAGTCGAGTTTAAAATTGTTTTTCGGGGATAACAAATAAACATGTTATCCTTAAAAGTAGTTTTTCTTTTTATTACTTTTATTTTAAATATATTTAGAATGTATTGAAATGAAAGTGCACTCGCATACATTCCCGACAGTTAACAATTTTTATACTATTTCCTTATCATGCTTTTTCACCCATTGCTATATAATGTTACCAGGAGGACGTGGTTTATACACACAGAAGTGTTAAAACTCTTTTTAATAAATGTTTTTAACCAATTAAATTTGACCTCATGTTCAGGTAAAAGCGAAATGCATGCAAAAGTCTACCAAATTGCAATACCAGTGATAAAACAAATGATGAGACGTTCAGTATTTATTTGATGTGTTTCAAAATTAGGAAATATTTACCTAAATCAACAATCAGACAGATTAAATGTGATCCAATCGGATTGGCCGAGGTGGTCTCCGAACTCAGAATCCTGACGAGTCGGATTGGACGAGGTGGCCTCCGGACTCAGAGTCCTTACGAGTCGGATTGTTCGAGCTGGCCCCGAACTCAGAGTCCTGACGAGTCGGATTTTTCGAGTCCTGACGAGTCGGATTGTTCGAGCTGGCCCCGGACTCAGAGTCCTGACGAGGCGGACGTGGATGAGACTGACCTTTGTTAAATAATACTTAAATAAGTAATGGTTATAAGCCGAAAACTGTCCATTATGACAGATATTAGACGACCCGAGGCGCGTTATTACTTAAAACATTTCACCATTGTCGAACACTTCCATTGTTAACTTATTGGACAGTCACAGGTAAGGTCTCGTTCTGCTTGGATGACTACCTAGCACTGTTCATCAAGTTAGGCCAAAGAAAACCAGTTTTGGTTTTTCTTCTGTCTTTATCAATAGTGGGAATCATCAAAAGGTGTTTTATATCGATGAAATATGAAAATTATATTTGTTTAGTCTTATTTATCCGCATTGCGACATTTTTTTTATATATACTACGCATGCGTAAAAGTCAGTTCTACTAAATTCTTTACAATTTATTCATTTTACAATGCAATGACCACGGATGAAGACGTACATTTTAATTTTGAAAAAAAAAAACCTTCAGAATCGGGTGTTTTGACGATGCCCTTTATTGATTACACCAAGATGCATAAGTTCAGGTTTTTACTGTGAAATCCGGATATATATTCTTATGTTTCGGAATTTGCAAGAAACAGTTCCCGTTAAAATGTAATTTTTGTAAAGCAATAGGATTTGAAGGATTTTACTCAAACAACTGTTTATTAAAGCATTTTCTATGAAATTAGGAGATTATTCCTGATGTATTTTTTAATAATGCAATTCTCTTTTGTGAGCAGGCTTCGAACTCGGAAGGATTTTACACCAGCCACTCCTTAAAACGACAGATACTCGATTAAATGACGCAGGACAAGTTGGACAAATGATCATAAATCAATGGACGAAATTACAGATTCCGTTGGAATTTCGTGAGCTAAATTTTGTGCTAAATGCGGAAAAATGGATATTTCAATAAACAAAAAAGCCCAAAGTTGTGTGTAAGAAAACACATGCTTCTCATTCATCTTTTGTGTCCATTGGATTCTATATATGTTCCGTGGATCAATCATTGTGAAATGAATCTATTATATAGCAATGAACGGTGAATTTAGGAAAATTATAATCGGAGCCAGGGATGCGTTTACAATAATGAATCTGAGACATTCAATTCACTGGATTATTTGTGCCATTTTCAATAGGATTTTTTGTGAAATATTAACATTTAACGCTACTAATTTCCTACATTGTTCATATTAAATTGTTTGATTTGACATTGCCTTTTACGTGGTGCTTACTTATTTGCCTCGTCCTTTGTTCTCATTTTAACGTTACCTGTACCTGTCCAATAAGTTGAATCTTATTGGACACCTACAGGTAACTTATTGGACGGGGTGCAGGACAATAACAAATTTATTGAACCAGGTTTAACAAAAGATGACGTCACAAAAATGTTTTCATACAAGGCTATTCATTAAAATGTATATAATGATGTAAGTAAATGACATGTGTTGACATTTATTAAAATGAGTGAAAGATTCAGGGGTAGAAATAATTAAATATAAATAATGATTCTTTGATATTTCAGTCTCCATGCATTAAAATGTCAAGAGTCCAAAAAGTGACACTGTTAAAAAAACAATTAGATTTGTAAAACATACGAGGTTTAATCCAAATGTTTGTGGAATTTCTTTCTAAAATTGTATCATGATTTGATGAAAGCAAACAACAGGCATATTCATAATATGAGTCATAATGCAACGATATTGGAAAATTTCACCACTTTCCAGTTACCAATAAGGTCACACGAGCTTTCTGAAAATGGATAGTTGTAAAACCCGGGAGACTTGCTACCGGTAAACCATTAACTAAATGCATTTTCCCAAGCCTTTGTCAGGAATATACGCGTTTAAGACAGATTTATCCCGGGATTTTCACAAAACGTATGATTTGACTGAAATTTGACGTTGTCTAACACCTTAAAGATGAACAATAAATCATAAGCTAAAAAACTAAATATCCAGGAAAATCAGTAAAACTCTCACACAAAGGTTAACAAAAGATCAAGCAATCATAATAATGACATAATGTTCGTTTTATATACCACATAGGGCGGTTTAATTCTCAATTCACATATTAAGAATTAAAATGATAACAAATGCGATAATGTCTCCCCTGCATTGCCAAACAACCGTTTCTATAGCAACTGCCATAGAGATACTATCAAAGATATATAAAATATTTTTAATTTAAAATATTCAACATGTCTATATTTTCATTTGAAATTATCAACCAATTCCATTTAAAAAAAAAATAAATAAGATATGAACAATTCCACAAACTTTTGGATCAACCCTCATATAGTGAAGGATAAAATATGGTTAAAATAAGAAAAAACGAAAAGGAAAGTCCAAAAGTTTTTTTTTAGTAACAATAAATTCTCCAATGTATATTTATCCAGTTTCTGACTTTTAGAATCTAAGGACAAACGTAAATGAGGCGACACTTTCTGTCAAATTCGGTGAATAATATCAAAAAATGAAATGGTCTAATCAATTGAAGCAAACCACAGTCTATCATAAAAGGTTCCATGGTCACTTTCAGATATAGGTTTCAGTTAATTATCAAAACTGCAAGATTTATAGTGTAAGGCACAACATAATCTACAGACAATAACGCCATATATCCACAAAAAATTAAACAGCATGTAATTCTGCTGAACATTGCCAGGAAAAAAATGCACTTTAATATTTTCTTACGAATAATTGTGATGCCATGCAGAGAATGGATGGCGAAATAGTATAACCTGGGCTGGTGAAGTATGCTTTTATTTTAGACTCTTATTATTATTTATTATATGAATCTTGTTTTCAAATGAACTTGATCTCTTTAATGCATACATACAAATGTTAATTATTATCTGTTGTAAGTTTTTATTTGGTCATGAAATCTTTAAAAATGAACGTCTTACATACTGCAAAATTTCAAAGAAAAAATAAGGGTTTCAGAAAAAGTTAGCCACCCCCCCCCCAAAAAAAAAAATATTAGATAACAGGATGTGAATCATTACTTGGCATTATAACAGATCTTTGACTAATAGAAATATACCATACAGTTTACATACAAGTGAACTACAATATGTATGGCTTTGGATTTAAGTAATTGTCAGCAAATTAACAATCGTATTACTGTGATGTATCTATTTCATTAAAATATATAATTTGATAGAATCCATTAAAGTTAAAATCTTTCATGTATATCAACAATTAAATTTATCTCAATTTGATATGGAAATAATAAGTACCAAAGTACATTTTGCTAACATTGACAGAAAATATAACAATATAACGTATAATGTGTGCTGCAGTGTAATTTGACTCATTCACATTTTCAATGTTATGCTGATTGTTTTTTCCTTATAAATAAACGGAAATTATTTTTTTTGTATTCAAAAAGAGTCTATGAAAATTACTACTAAGGTGAACACCTTTGAGACTGATTTGCTATTTAAGCAGTAATGAAGAATAAATACATGCAATGTAGGTCAGCGTTAAAATCCAGAACTTCAGTGTTGATTTCAGCACAGCACAAAAGGATATAATTCATACAATATCTATGGTCAGAATTAATCTTAATTTATTTTCTCAATGATTCATGTAACTGTCAGTGAAAAGACGAAGAGATCGATTGTACTGTTTTGAAATCTAAATAAATTAGTGTTAACATCTGTGTTTCATTGAATAAATAAATCATTTTCAGATTTAAATTTACGTATTTTTTTTTAATTTTATTGTATCGAAAAAAAAAATTTGTTTGTGTTTTGTTAATATGTGTTTCCTAAATTCGGTTCTTTGAAATACTAATTTAAAATAGCTGCACGTGTGATATGA